ATCTGCAAATCTGTCACCTCCCCTCTGATCGATCGTCTTGCATTCTACTTGCCCTCGCGATTACATTAAGGAAATCCAGCGTACTCTCAAGATCCAAAATCACAACGGCAAAGTCCCTTTTGTCATATAAGGTTAACATTCTAAATTCAGTTTCTAGGGATTAGAACATGCACATCCGTGTGTGTGTGTGTGTGTGTGTGTGTGTGTGTGTGTGTGTTTTGTCCGCCACAAAAAGGATTAATTTGATTTGGATTTTGTTCTCCAAAGAGCGGGCTGTTGGATGAATCATTTCTGTTGGTTTTTTGTTCATTTCAGCTTTTACTTTTATATTTTCTTTAAGTCAACTTTTGGAGTTCTTTACAAGAATTTTTTGAGAAGAATCCTTAATTTGGTTAATCTTCTTCAATTAATAGAAGTGTTTAGGTCTATAAATTATCCTCTGTGTAGCGTTAATTGTGTCCCATATATTTTGATATATAGCATTTTCATTATTGTCCAGATATTTTACTATTTTGATTTTGATTCCTCTTTGACCAAAGAATTATTTCAAAATGAATTCTGAACTTCGAAGGAGTTGGTTTTTTGTTGTTACTGCTGTTTCTACATTTCTTATTTTTAGTTTTATTACACGGTGTTTATACAGCAGATTCTGCATCACTTCTTTTGCAAGTATGCTGTGGTCGTGTGTGTGCGCACACACACCCCGTTATGCAATTATATAGTTTATATAATGAGCATGAAACAACTAACTCTGCATTGTTTGCAGAATTTAAGCATATCTGTTATAAGTGATTTGTTCCATTGCATGAATGTACCATATTTATTTAAGTAGATATTGATATTTGAATTGTTCTCTTTTGCTTTTACAGCAGATGAGGCTGTAACGAATATTTAGCATCATACGGTAAATGCTATATACCATTTGGTGCCTGCGGGAGTGTATCTGCAGAATAAATTATAAATAAATCCCTTTCCTCGGCTGCTCCCTTTGACTTAGTCAATTGTTTTACCATCTCCTGAGTCACATTGTCTGTGTTTTCTTAACGTTTTTTGAGACTTCAAAGCAGTTGGATTCTAAAATTCTCTTTTCTCAGAAAACGTCCCTCTTAACGTGCTCCAGCGTCACCTTCTGGGTTCAGAGCTTCGTGTCTCCCAGCCTTTCCCCGGGTTTTGAGCACAGCTCCCCTAATGCTGTTCCTACCTCGGACATTTCAGTTCGTGGTCATTCTTGGTCCCCAGTGATCTGTGCTCCACGCCCTGGGCTGGCCTCTCTATTTAACTGCCAACATTGTCATTTCTGTTGATGATTATGTTAGTGCAAATCACATTTTAATTGCTGCGGGCTTAGGATAAATATCTGAACATATTACGTGTTAGGTCCCTTTTCATATAACTGTATCTGACTAATTTTTTTAATACATATGTTTTCTACACTTTTGATGTTTCTGAAATCAGGATGTAATCAATCAAAATCATAGTACCTTGTTTCCCCCCCAAAAAGATGTTTTAAAATTAATAGTCTTACCATTGATGGCTTCTTAAAACCAAGCCAATAAGGTATTTCCTATTGTATCATATGTACTTTCAAGCAGAGCATATGTTTAACTTCCTGGATTCTTTTTAAGTTGGTCCAAAATGTGCTGTATCTGATAGACAGCCTTTGACATATTTACCCTGGGGTTTATTTGTTCCCTAATTTCGGCATAAACTTGACTTTTCTATTTTTCTTTCACTTCCTTGGGTTTTGTGGTGTGTGGTGTGTGTGACATTATAACCATCTTTCCAGAAGTGTTTATCATTAAGTTTTAAAAGAGGAATCTGCAAGTTGCCCAATGATTTCGTAAGCTACTTAAGACCCTGTAACGTATTTCTTCCTGCTTAAATTTGCTGGATTAAATCTGTTCCCCCGAAGATACAGGCTCTGGGGATATACTTGACAGAGACATTAGGTAAAATGCCTCCCCACACATACGACTGTCGTCATGAAAACAGAAGGGCGGAAAGCAAATGAATGTGGACCTTTAGAACTTCTACGTGGACCATTATTTGGGAACTAACTGTTAATTCGATCTATAGAAAATTTCAAAAGGTGCTTTGGTGTGTGCTCCTCCTTCAAGGTAGGGAGGGCTCAGGCAAATATGACAAAATGAGCCAAGACTTAACAACCTCACATTTCGGAATTTAAGTAACAGGCCAGGGAAATCGCTGTGTTCTAGCTCCATAGTCACTCTGCTGTAGTCTTCTCCTGATTAAGATAAACATATACTCAAGTCTGGTTTTCCTATAAATCCAATAATTATTTTTCCAAAATGGAAAACCGATACGGTATTTTAGCAATCTGTTTTAAACATTAGAAATAACACAAAACTAAACATTTTTCAAGCTAAGTTAGGGCGGTCAGTATTAAGCTTATAGAATACACTTTCTTGGTCATGAAGAAGTAAACGTTAGAAGCCACTCTTTTAAGTTTTGTTGTTAGAAACGTTAATTTCACTACTCAAACTAAAGTCTCTTAGAACACTGGAAAAAAAAAAAGTCAATGTGAAAATCCCCCAAGCCCTGAGAATAACTTACACCAAAGACAAACTTTGACCAAACAGATGCCGAAAAAGCGTTTTCTTCCCTCGAACATAAAATATCCATGAATTACACTGTGTATCCCATCAAAAACAAACTCAAACGATAAGATCAGACACTATTTTAAATCCATAAACATGAGACTCTGGAATCAGAAAGTAAAACCCTCATGTAGATGAAGGTGGGGTGACCTGTTATTAGTGACATCTTGTGACTCAGAGTTTTGGTGGTATTGTCGTAAAAAGGGCACCGATTTCAAATAAAGGAGTATCACTGCCTTTCAATGGCAATAATTAGCTCTCTAAAGATATAAAAAATAATCGGTTTGTAACAGACTAAAGGTGTAGCGTTCATCTTTTAAAGTTCTCAGCTTCCAACTCCATGTGATCACAGTGCTGTGGACACAGATGTCGGACACCAATTTCCTTTCTCCCGCCCCTCTGCAAGACATCGACCACCAAGACACTAACGTTCACCCAAGCATTTTTCTCAACTTGTTCTTTGGGTTCTAAAAGCCTGATCTCTTATTTGCTTTCCTACATCTTATTCCCGATTTTGCAGACACACGGGGTTGTGACCCTGCAGGCTGCATCGGAAGTCAACAGCGTTTGGCTGAGCGACATTGATGTCGGTTAGAACGCAGAACACGACTGCAGATGCGTTTCACCCCTGCACTATGACATGTCAGTTTAAGGCCCATCTTTCAGAAATTATCGTGAAATACTGAGGCATACGGAAAGCATGGGCTATGTTACAATCGACACTTGCATCCCCATCACCCAGCTTGAGATATGAAACGTGTCACCGTTTCTTCCCCCAGGAAATTCCTCCCCAGTATTTGGTGGTTTTCATTTCCATTCATGTTGTCAACCACATATATTATTTTGCGTGCCTTAAATGTCAAATATTGTAAGCATTCTCCTGACATGTTCTTTTCGTTCTTGATATTCATCCATTTTCCGTGTCGCTGTTTCTCGCTGTCCTTAGTATCGTGTTGTATGAGCATCCCATAGAGATCCACTCTCTTCCTGATGGAGGTTCAGGTTGTTTCCTGTTTGCTACTACTGATGACATGGTGCCATGACCTTAGTCATGAACTCATCGAGCACAGCTTGCTCCGAGACATTCATTGATGAGAACTCGTGGGCTGCAGGGCCTTCGACATGAGATATGCTAGCTGCTTTCCAAAGCGGCCGTACCATCTCTATGCCACATCCTTTGGGATTATAAGGTCCAGGCTTATAATCCAGCTGCTGGAATCCTCAGTGGCCAGGCTGAGGGTCTATTCCTCCAACCAGACACCCAGAGAGGGTTCTAGCTGGATCCCATGCTTTCATGTTAATTTCTAGGTTTCGAGCTTCTGTATCAGAGAAGTCAAGTGAAGTCAAACCCCAAAGCCACGGTCAGCTGAGCTCATATGTTTTTTTCGTTTTTAATCCAAAGCACAGACCAAATCAAGAAAGGCTCCCTGTGGCCTCCCCGTGGTGTCCCCGGCCGGCAGGATTTCGTTTCCAGTCTGCTCCTCCCCCAGCACGAGGCTGTCATAACACTGTGGGCATGTGGGCCGAACGATCTGAGCATCTAAACTCCTTGCTGGCCGGGATCGCCACCCTCCTCCCCACCAGCCAGGCTGTGGCCCGTGAGCCTGTGTCAGTGCTAGCTTACTGAGCTGGTTTTTATCTTATTGGTGATGGGATTTCTTTGATTTTCCTTTTTAGGCCTTCAGGGAAATTTTTAAATTTTCCTCTGCCCTCAGCACTTACAGGGAAGAAGTCTTGGTCCTCTCCTAATTAAAAGGAAAATGGGAAGCCCCAAAGAAATTCTGGGGTTCTATTTATTTCAGCATGTAAGCTTTGTTTTCTAACTGGCCGAGTCCAACGAGACTTCTCGAGATGAACGTGCTGAGCCGTCCATTCTGCTCAACGCGGCTGATGTGTCTGATGAACTGAATGTTTAATATTTTAATTAGTTAACATTTAAGCAGTCGCATGTGACTCGTGCCTACTGTATTTGATTGCACCGACCTAAGTAACATTCACCCCTCGAGTGGCTTCGTGCACTAAGAAACCAGCGCGGTCCGGGAGAAAAAGCCTGGTGAGTCTACTCCTGACAGTCGAAGGATGACAGGCGCGAGCCGCGACTTCAGAGCGGCTGCCACCACGAGCGCGTCAGCCCCTCGTCTCCATCACCAGGCGTTTCTTGCCTGGCTTGTCCTTCTGGGCATTTTCAAAGACTGATGGTGACAGAGTTTAAGCGCACATTCTTCCCACCGCCTGGAAGTCCGGGAACCCATGGCCGATAGCCTCCCCAAGGACACTTAACGCAGTTTCGAAGTGTCAGGGAAGCCCAAGCATAACTAACTGGCTGCATAACCACGCACGGCTAGAATGCAAGATGAGACACTGTGATCGAGTACAACTCGGTTTATCTTTTCACTGATAATGTTTATTGGTAACCTGAAAACGTGTACAAGTTAAAACACGAATGCGCCATATGATTTACTTCCAGCATTTTATGAAAAAAAAAAACCAAACAAACCCAAGTTTACTGTTCTAGGCCTGGACTGGGTGTAGATTTCCAATTTTTTAAACTTTCAAAGGGCATGCCAGTGTATGAAATAACTCTTCTTTTTTGAATTGCCATAAGTAAAGGTTAAGAAGGCTAAAGCAAAAATGTGGGTATGAATTATAATGAGAACAAATGCGTGTCTGGAAACAAGGCCACATAAGTCTGGCCGGCGCCCTTGGCCATTTCAAGGTTTAGCTTTCAAAACAAAGTGTTAGTAACTACTTCCCGCCGTGCTGTCATCCACACCCACGTGTCCTCGTGTAAGGTGGATGCCCGAGGTTTGGCATTTCCGAGTGCACCGAAATGGGTGCTGGCGTAAGGAAAACATTTCCTGGGATGAATGAACCGGGTCAAAAATGAAAAGGCTGGAAGTTTGCATTTGACCTCAGCACACATCTCCAGGTAAAACTGACTAAAAGCCCCGTCCAGAAGTCTTCGTGGATATTTTCATTGTATCCGTGTATTTTAAATGTCTACGAGAACTGAAGCCTCTTAATTCCCGTCAACATATTTCAGACATTTTGCTTAAGGATTTCTCTTTTGACACTCTCAAGACAAAATTTAAATGCAAAACAAGTTTTCCCTAGAAAGCATTTTTAGTGCAATGAATGTGCACGTTTGAATTTTCAGAGCGTATGGAGCCCACTCTTCTCTTGATAATCTTCATAGAAGCGTCTCAGTGACTCAGGAATTCTGGGTGTCACAGTGCTCAAGGACTGAGTAAAATGTCTTCTCATGATGCAGTTGGCTTGAATGTCTTCCTCCAGGGCCAGAAGAGCGGCCTCTCTGCAGACAGCTATGATCTGATGGGAGACAGAAAACAATCGATGATGTTTTTGCACCTTGCTAAACTCTACCTGCAAGAGTTATTCCACTTAAATTTTCAAAAGGATAAGAAGTAATCACTGTCATCCCCAAAGCACACACTGAGTACGCAGAAGCGGGAGCAGTGAGATTTATTTACAACCGCTGAGGGTGGAGCAGATGCGCAGGAGGCAAAGCTGTGGGTGCGCAGTGCGGTGGGGGCAGGGCAGGGGGACCAGGTGATGGGGGTTCGCTGCGGCAGAGCGACAGCGACTCCGGCCGCTCGGCACACCCCTCCCAGCACAGAATTCCACATCCCTTTCAAACTCTGCTGTACCTCCTACACGTAAAAGCATTTCTTTCTGTGCACCTCTTTAATTAGTCCTTAAATTGGGGGACTATCAGATCGAGCTGTCTCTTTTCTGGGGGGCTGCGCTAGAACAGAGCCGTGAACGCTGTTGACTCGGCAGGGGGAGCAGAGAGGAAGGGAGAGCGCGGCGGGGATGGCAGGCGGGAGGCCGGACGGGTGGCAGGTTCAAGTCTTGAAGCCCGAAATGTGTTTTGAAGCTCCCTGGACTGCAGGCGGCGGAAGCGGGCCGATGCCGGCGTCATTCTAAAGACACATGTCCGTGGTGAAAAGAGCTCGTGGGGTGAAAGGCGATATTGTGATTTTCGGGGCAACAGGGAAAACAGTGATTGATGCTGCCCGCGCCCTGGCAGCGGTAAATGAAAGCGCCGGCTGAAGCGCGTCTGTCCAGCCATTCAGCATATTTTCTCTGTTTGTTCACTTACTGAAAAGAGTCCCTCTGCTTACGCCGGGCTAATGGCTGCCAAGCAGTTCAGTAGCTTTTTAGGGGATTTAGCAGCACGTTTAGGGAGCTTTCAAAAAAAACATGCATAGATTTAGACGGCTTTGTCAAATCACGACAATGTAACCCTTGGTTCTGGGCTGCGCTAATGAGCGCCCAGGGCGACCATCGCGGTCATGCATGTTAATGCTTTTCCCCAAAGGTGGCTACCACTCGAAGGCAGAAACAAAACTTCGGGGATTAGCAAAACGGCTTCATCGCACTCTCTGGTGCAGAGAGAGTTATTCTGAAGACAAGATGCGATCATTAATAAGCACGGTAAAGCGCGTGAAATGCCCGGCCCGGTCAACTGGTGACCCCAGGATCGTCTGTGTTCTACAGTGACCCTGGGGACCCCCGAGGCTGAGGCGAAGGGCCGAATGGGGACGCTCAGCCCCTCCTCCCTCCCATCGGCCACGGCTTCAAACTGTCGCACAGAGGACGGGCGTGGGAGGCTAGGAAGTCTGGGGCAGACTCCGAAGGGGCGGTGAGGGCGCTCTGGCTCCCTCCGCGGGCTCAGGGGCGCAGGGCGGTCACCACGGGGCCAGGGCCGAGTCCCGCACATTCTGTCACTGAGCCGTACCTCCCTCCTGGCACCAGCGCGTCACGGCTGTGAACAGAGTCCTTGCCATGTGGGCCAGTGCCGCCCGGTCTGCTACGACGCAGTGACAGGCTGACGGGTCTGTGCGATGTATGACAGGGACCCGCACATGCAGTGGCCAGCTGGGCTGCCGAAGGGGGCGGGGGCGCGGGCGGCTGGGTTGGTTGAGAAAAGCAGAGGTGAGCGCGAGGCCGCCAGGAGCCTCTCCCAGCTCCCGGTCCCACAGGGCTGGATGGCAGGCGGTGACATTGCCGCGGGGGCAGGGGCGTGACCCGCCGGCCCAGCAGGTTTCGTCTCTCAACGCACTGTCACCAGACCGGGAGGAGGAGGAACGACTGTGCTGCTGTCATCGCCGGGACCTCCGGCAGACTGGCATGGCACGGGAGGGAAGTGGAGGTCGTGGGGAGTGACAAGCCACTGAGGCCTCAGAGGCTGTCCTTGGGCTCAGCTCCCCTGAGCAATTCCTTTCTGCAGGTCAACTTTTCTTCCTTCATATCTGCATCTAGAGAGTTTTCTCTAAGCTATAAATGGCGTTTTGCCCTCTGTGGTGGCTTCCATGGCTGCGACAGAGGGGGCATTGGTGAGACGTCAGAACAGTCACAGCCACCTAAAAGCTGGATGTTGGTAGCCTGGGGCCTCTCGTATACGTTGACATTTGCCCGTAATTCCCCGACTATGCTTAGTACCGGCCTGCGCCTGAATGGACAATTCCACCCGATGTGGAGAACTATGAACTTGTGGGATACAGAACACCTGGACGGCTCTGGCTGGCGCACTGAGAAATGTTCGCATTGGACAGAGACGGCCTTTAGAAGCGCCGAGAACGAAGACAAGGGCGAGTCGGCTGAGTACTGGCACTCCAGGGCCCCGGTGAAGGCGGCTTCCTGTGTCCGCAGCTCTGCACCTCTAGGGTGGCAGAAGCGCTGCCTGAGCCCAGCTCTTGCCTCGATACACGTCATCCTGTTTCTTTTTAGTTACAAAGACGCCCTGAAGAACCAGTCGAGTAGACGATCCTTCCTCCTACTTTGTTTACTTATCGTATTTGCTTGAAAACATACGACCAGTAACTGAGAGAGGAGACACTACTACTGACTGATTGACCAGCCACTCGTCCCCGCGTCCGTGGCTACTGACCAGCCACTCTGTGCAACTAGGTGAGGCCAGGTGCAGGACCCAGCGACGGCCAACACTCGTGTCCACCTTGTGGTGCTCCCACGCCAGGAGGGAGGGACGGCGGCTAAGGCCGAGTGTGGCACGGTATCAGAGGGACTCTGAGCGGTGCGAAAGGACAGGCTGTGGCGTGGAGAGAAGGAAGAATTAGTTCCCTGACCGAAGAGGGAAGGACAGAACGTAGATATGCGTGCGGGAAAGGACAGGGTACCTGAGCAGAAGGAACGGAGTGATTCCAGGGATTATACAGAGCTCGCCTCAGTAGCCAAAACTAGAAATTGAAAAGAAGAAGATAATTCTATCACTTAAACGTCACTAAAAATAACAGCAAAAGAGGTACCGATAGTTTTCCGCAGTCATGTGGACCACGATGGCGGGGAGGGCTAGTCGATGACAGTCGTCTCCCAAGCTCCAAACTCAATTCACAAGCAGCTGATGCATCAGCAGCTGACAGAACACAATTCTTAAAAGTTCCTTTGTCTTCATTTTCCCTCATGAAAGGCTTCTTAGTTCAAATTCCAAAGGGAAAAGCATTCATTGCATTACCGGTTCTTCGCTCCTGACCCAAAGATGATGACAGGTGTGAAAACAGAAAGATTCTCAGGAGGCCCGACTCCCGATGGCCAGTCTGTTTGCACTGGGGTCGCACAGTCTGGTGTGCGTCCCAAGGCGCCGCGTTTCCTAAGAAAAGTGCAGCTCTCTGCTGTCCCTGTGGCCCGCCCGCCAGCATCCCTTGCGAGATACACTGTCATTAGAGGCAAGTATTTCTGATCGAATAAGGGTACATACTCTGCTTCCCACTATGCACGCTGGAACTCTGAAGGTTTTGTGCAGCCTGGCAGTGACGATCTGCCTAGTTTTCTTTAACCTGGTGTTGCCCACAGACGCCCCTCTTCGCCGTTTTTGGCAGGACACCTATAAATGGCCATCTTGAGGGCTGCTGGGGACCCTCAGCACACTCTCTGGAAGGTGCGAACCCACACCAAAAACCTCGATCGAGACACGAGGTGGCCTATCTTGTTTCCTTTGCCCCCCCTATTCCAGAACAGAGAGAAAAGGGAACGGGCCGAGTGGGCTGAGCAGGAGACCGGAGGCTCGGGCTGCTTACAGGGGTCAAAGGGCAGCAGCGGCGCACACCTGTGCTTGGCGGCGTGAACAGCTGATACACACTTGCTGAATTGAACTGAACGGTTCCTTAACTATAAACGAGTTCGCAAAAAATGCACGTTATACGCATTTTCCTCATATTCGGCTGATGCCCTGGAATATTTTCACTTAACCCAGACTTTGTCAGTTATACTGAAGCATCTGGAATGATAAAGTCAGTAACAAAAACTGCTTAACAGTTTCGGTCTGGGCACGATTTTGAATCCAGTCCGTTCCTTAGAAGTAATGAAAATAAGAACTTTTAGCAGGAATACAAGTAGGCTGGTGTTATTTTGAGGGATGTTTCTTTAGGTTACAAAATTTTTTACTCAGGGTCATGAACATTTTTTGCTCTGTTGTCCCGGGGGAAAAAAACTACACTGTAACTGAGAAAGATTCCTGAAAACTTCCCAACAATGCAGTAATAGATACTGGTGTAGAGGACGGAGGCGGAAGCTTTGTGCAAACGGTGATCTTTCGCCTTACGTGATGACAGTAATCTGGCATCGATTAATGGCGGAGGGATTATTTTTCTGAATTGAGCACTGGAAAGGTGAGGTCTTCTCGTAAACCTGCCAATACATCTCTCTACTTGGGAGTGAATACCACAGACACTGAGAAAAGGGCCTTCTACTTAAACCAGGGCCTTCTGAGCGCTCTCTAAAGCGTGCAGGAACTCTCAGGACCTCAGTGTACGTATCTGTATCTCTGCGGTGCACACGGGGACAGGATGGCACAGCATCCTGCTAGAATCACATTAAAAACAGACGGCGTCGGGGCTCCTCTGGAGATGGGGCAATGCGTCCCACGAGGACACAGAAGAACCTTGCTGAGAAGACGTGCAGATGACCAAAGTCGAACCACAAACTGTCTGGAATGCTACACGGACCCGTTCGGAAAGAGAACTCTGGCACCTGAGAACCTCAGCTCCTTGCAGGACAAGGGTTCGGGAGCCCTTTCCCTGACCCCCTTCCCCATCTTGTCCTCTTCCTCCACAGGCTGTAGAGGCAAAACGTTCTGCCTGACTCTGTAAAGCTGAGTGTGTATTCTGTGCTCTTTTCCAGTTTTGTCTAACAAATTGACATCCGAAACTTTTAAAAAATATATATTCCTTGCTGCAAAGGTGAAAATATCCGGGGAAATGACAGAAGGTGACAGAAGACCAGAAGAGCAGGCTCGAGGTCTCGCTGTCAGAGGCAGACGAAAGACATGCTGTTTCCGTGGGCATGGCACC